CCGCGGCCCCCCCGCCTCTCCTTGCCCCCCCCTCCCCGCTCCTCGGCGGCGCGGGGGTCTCCGTCCCGGTCCCCCTCTCCCCCGGGGGGGCGCGGGCCGCGGTTCCCCCCAAACTCCAGCGCCGCCGGGTCCCCCCGAGGCGGCGGTGGTGACCCGCCACCGGGCGGGTGACCCTTTTCCGGGGTGACCCTTGCTCCTCCGCCGCACCCAGGAGTCCCGGAGCCTTTGCCCCGGAGGCGGAGGGAGGGGGACGCCGCAGAAACCTCCAAAAAAAAACCCTTTCACCCTGCAGGCTCCGCGTCCCCCGGGGCGGCGGGTACCTCCGGTCTGAGCGGGCCAGCCCTGCTGCTCTTCTCCTTCCGCAGGGCGACCATGGCGGAGTTCGGGCGGACGCGGGGCAAGCGGCAGGAGGACAGCGGGCTGGGCAGCGTCCTGGACCTGCTGTTGGCCAACGCCAGGCTGGTGCTGGGGGTCACCGGGGCGGCCGTGCTCGCCATCGCCACGCTGGCCGTCAAGCGGGTAAGGCTGGGGACGTTTGCCCGTTGGGGTTTGGAGAACGGGAGCGACCGGGTGGCCATTCCATGGGGGAGAAGGACGGGCCACAGACCTCTCCCGAGCTGGTCCCTCAAACGGTGTTGGTGTGGTGTTGCCTGCTCCCACCCTGAAGGGACACACACAGCCCCCTCCCTCCCCCTTTTTCCCCAGAGCAACACCCCTTCGGGATACACTATCCCATCCAGAAAGACACCTTGGGCTTAATTCCCACTTTTTTCCCCACTTAAAACCCGCAGGAAGAAACGTTGCACCTTCGTGGCCCCCTAAACTCTGTATTTTTGGCTAGCAGAAGCCCCGCGTGGGGCTGTGTCTCCCTCGGGGTGTCACCGCAGGGAAAACGGTGCAGAGATAATAACGTGTCCCCGTGGGTTTTCCTCCCCCTCCAAGCTGATCGACCGGGCCACCAGCCCTCGTGATGAAAGTGATCCCAAAGCCGAGCAGAAGACCCTGGAGGAGAGCTGGCAGGACTTGGCCTTGATCAAAGCGACGCCGAAGCCCCCCAAGAAGCAGAGAAGGGAAGACCTTAGCGAGCCTCTGCTCTCTCCAGCTCGCCCACCGGTGCCAGGTGAGGCTCTGGTGGTGGCCACGGTTGGGAAGATCACCTTGATGTGCCGCTGCTCCCCGCAGTTTGGGAGCTCCCGTGTTATTTTTAGCTCGGTGTCCGGAAAGCCGACCCGATTGTGCCCTCCCTTCTGGGAGGCTTCCAAGCCACGGCCCCTTTTTAGGCAATGCCTGGGGGTAACGGCACCTCCGATAACGTCCCGGGTGTCTCGGCCACCACGGCGTGGTGGAGCCTGTCGGGGCTCCTTTGTTTCTTCTGGAGTGGTGGCTGCTGCTCCCGGTTTCTGGGTCAGCCCCGTCTGGAGGAAGGTGCGCTTCGGAGCAGCCAGACAAAGGCTGCTTTGTCCATCTGCCTACAAACATGGTGTTTTTCCAAGTGGGAAAGAAGCCCAGCTCAGTGCAGGGAAGGTCCTGAGATACTGGACCCAGAGTGGGATCATTGGTGGGACTGGGTGTTCAGGGCAGGCTGGATCTGCCTGAGCAGCCTCGGTGGGGCTGAGGCTCTTGGCAACCCTGGCATGCAAGTCCCTTGCCCGGCTGCTGGCACGTAGCCTGGTTTACCCACCCCTAGCTGAGGGGTGAGGCCAGACAGATGGATTTGGAGGTTAGTTTGGGCTCTGCCTTGACTGAGAAGCATCAGAGGATTTGGTGGTGGTCCTCTTGGCAAGGTCAGCTTCGTATCCAGACAGGTGGGCTGAGAGCTGGGCACCCACCTTGGCTGCAGGAGGAGAAGTTGCTGCTGTAGGTTGCAGATGATCTTGTATCCAGAGAGGTGGGCTGAGAGCTGGGCACCCAGCTCACGCCTGCACCTCGGCTGTGGCAGAAGTTGCTGCTGTAGGTTGCAGATGATCTCCTCAGAGCTTTACCTTCTCCCTTCCCTCTGTCCCATCCCTTTCTCACAGCACCCAGGGTCTGCCCCACCCCTCTGGAGACCCCTCGGGTGGAATCCACCCCTCCGCGCTGCCTCACGCTGCAGGAGAAGCTCCTCTCCCACTACAGCAGCCGACTGGCCGTGCCCGAGGTGCAGGTGTCCCTCGCCCCGCAGCTGGCCAGGAGCATCTGCACCCAACTGCAGAACTTCCTACGGAGCAAGTGCCCAGAGCTGCCCTTTGGCAGCCTCTTCCTCAGCGGTCCCCTTCTTGATGGCCTTGAGGCTCTCACAGCTGACCACATCCACCTCATGCTCCCGGTGGTCCTCGACACTACGCTCTGGAGCCTCATCCCAGGAGAGGACACCGTGGTGAGGAACCCCCAGTACTGGATGATCAAGAGGACCGATCTGGAGTATTTCCCTCGTGGGTGTAGTGCCTGGGACAGGTTCATTGTGGGTCGGTACCTCTCCTCCAACGCGCTCAACGAGACCCTCCACAAGATGCTGGTGGCCTCCATCAACTGGCCTGCCATAGGCAGCCTGCTGGGGAGCGTCATCCACCCGGTGGTGGCCTCCCAGGAGCTGAAGCTGGAAGTCAAACACGATCAGGTTGAGCTGAGCATCATCCTCTTCCCGGTGGTGGAAATGGAGGACAAGGTTCTTTTGGCTGCTCCTCCTGAAGGACTGGTGGAAAACCTCTGGCTTCAGAGCTTTTACAGGGCAGAGGTCTCGAAGGTGAAGGAGCTGGATGCTGGTGACTCTGGGGCTCGGCAGCACTGCCTCCGCATCCTCAACGGGGTCTGCAAGAGCCATCCCACCCTGCACAAACTGAGCGGCAGCCCCTTGACCCACGTTGTCCTTCACCTCAGTGCCACCAGTTCGGACTGGGCAGAAGAAAGCCTTGCTGACAGGTTCCAGCAGGTCCTTGAGGAGCTGGTAGGCTACCTGGAGAAAGGGGTTCTGCCTTCTTATTTCAACCACAAAATCAACCTCTTCTGCGAGCTGTCGGAAGATGAAATCGATGAAATGGGCTTCATGCTCTACAGGGCCATCTCTGAGCCGGAGCTCCTGCTGAAGGAGAAGTGACCAGTGGGTTGGGAGCTCCTGAACATAGGGTGTTCCTTACCCCTCTGCTGCTCCCCGCTGTGAGGGTTTGCGAAGCTTCTAGTTGACTAGTCAGTAAGAGGCGAAGTTCTTGCACTTTATGAGAAAAATAATATTTCCTGTCTGAATAAAACGTGCCTGAGCAGAGGTGGGTGTTGGCGTAAGGAGCCTTTGGCTGGGAGGCTCAGCCAAACCCGGGGCAAATGTAGCCCACTCCTCCAGTACCTACAGGTGAGTCCCGTCCGCTGGGTGTTGGGAGCCGACGTGAAGCATGTTTGGTCTCTGGTTCCTGGTGTCCTCTGCCTGTCCCAGCCTGCTGTCCCAGCTCCTGGGCTCCCCTCACCCCCCCAACACCAGCTGGAGCTGGAGGGGAGCGGTTCCTCGCTGCTGCTGTGTCCTGCAGACCCCACGGGGTGCAGTGTCCCCTTGGTCTTACCGTGCCATGCCCTCAGCCAGCTTTTGGGACAGGGTGGGAGCCTCATCCCTCTGCTGGATATTGCCCAAGCGATGACCACGGGGGGTGGGGGGTTGTCCGGGCACTTGACAAAGCAAACAGGGCTTTGGGTTTATTCTTTGGAAACCCTTTCAGCCACCAAAAGGGGTGAGCCCAGCCCTTCCTCTTCATCCTGCCAGTATCGGCTCTGCCCCGAGGAAGAGGCCCTTGTCCCACACAGTGTTTTGCTGGAAGATGTCCTGGAAAAGGTGGCAGGAAGAGCAGCTGCTGACTCCCGGGAGGCTCCTGGTATCGGTTCCTTGGTGGTGGCTGCAGCAGGGCTGTGAGTCCCCTCCCAGTCTGTCCAGTGACCTTCTCACCCGTGTGTTGCTGCTGTCTTGGGGTCCCGTTTCCTCGGAGCCCCGTGGGAGGGTAGGATGGGAGTGATGCTCCGAGTAGAGTGCTTGCAGAAACTGAAGTGGTTTATGCTTTTTATTAAGAAGGTATGTTTTGTTTGGGTATTTTGGGTTTTTTTTGTGTTTTTTTTTTTCCTTTGAGTGGCTGCTAGTAGGCTTTGGTTCTGGCTGTAGACCCAGAGCGAAGTAATATATTGTTATATTTCATGGGAAGAGCTGTTTGTTTGCACACTGGTGGAGATGGAGAAATCCCGTGGACTTCAATGTGAGCAGCTGTTGTGGTTTAGTTTTATTTACAGCTATCATCTTGTTTATGGGAAGGAAGAAAAAAAAAATACCTGAGCTTTTCCTCCCAGTCTGAAGGTTACTGAAGTTTGTTCCTCCAACCCACTCCCCAGGTGTCAGCGATGAGAATAAACCTTCCCTGTATACGCTGGTTCTCCTGTGTCAGCTCTGTTGTGTCTCCTTTCTGGTGATAAGGGCTGAAGTTGTCCTCCAGCTGCGGTGGTTGGTGCAAGAACTGCCTGGGAGCCTCCTCCCCTGCACGGAGAGAGCTTGGTGGTGGTCAGACCCCATCCTGCAAACCCTTTCTCCTCCTCTTCCAGACCCCTGTGCCTGCAGAGTGAGCCGTCCAGACACCGAGCTCGTGCCATTTTACCCAGTGGCTCAGGAAAAGCTGGCCAGGCTTAGACCAGTGAAGCTGGTCATGGCTGATGCCACCAGCAACGCTTCACCTGCAGCCTCCGTGCTACACCAATGCTTTCTGCTGCCCTTCAGAAGCTGCTGCCTGGGCTTCTCCTGTGCTTTTGCCAGCTCAGTGGTTGCATTACAAAGCCTCCTAATCCGGTTATTTTAGCCGGCAGGTCAGTATTTTTAGGCCACAGCTGTTAATCGTGGGAGTCAGGGGGAGAAGGAAAAGCAACCTGAGTTCTCCTGACCTTACTCTGTAGATTTAGGCCTGACAGCAATGGATGGCTGCAGTTAAAGGCTCTCTTCTCTCTCGTGCAGACCTTCAAGCAAAGCTGTGCTGCTGGGATCTCCTCTGCTTCGGGCTAGGCTGGAGAAACCACTCCAGCCTTCTGGCCACCCTGCTCTGTGTGCTGCGTGTCACCTCAGTGCTGACCCCCGTGTCCCAAAGGAGAGCAGGGCCTTGAGCAGCCCTGAGGGGGGAAAAAGGGAATGCTGTCCTCTGGCAGGAGAGGACACCGGAGTCTTGTGGATCTACTCGCTTTGATGTAGAGAGGAAGCCCCAGCAGAGAGGGAGGAGGTAGCCTGGCTTCCCGGGGAGCTCAGTCTAAACTAAGTGCAGGAAAACAGAACCTCCCTTCAGTTGAGGCAGCTGTCTGTCTGTCCGTCTGTCTGTCCCTGGGCAGCAACACCACAGCAGATGCAGCTGGTGAGATAAAAACCACTTTCCCTGCCCCCCTGCAGGAGCTCATTTCTAAATAACTGCAGGGAGTTTCTGCCAAGAAAGCTCCTGCATTATTCCAGTAAGTGAGCGGAAAAAGAGATTTGGGTGGATGCTTTTACAGTCATAGTGTAACTATTTTAAGTAGGAAGGAATAATAAGACCGAGTTAAGATGTCACTGTATCAAATTTAAAAATTAAATAACATTTTAATAAGAAACTTATTAGTTTGACAAAAATAACTTCCATTAGCTAGCAGCATCACAGAGGCAAGTCTCAAGGTTTGAAGAAGAACTTGGTTTCAAGCTCAGGAACTGTCTAAAATGAAGGCTCTTCCTGAGCACTGCAGCTGAGCTTCCCTTTTTAGGGCAAGCACCGGATCCAGCTTCTCCACACCTGGCCCTCCTTCACCGGCAGGGACAGCCATGGTAAGGGGCACCGTGACAAAAAAAAAAAGGGGAATGTTGTTCAGGTAACATCAGCTTAGAAGGGAACTTTAAAATTGCACACTGTGGAAAGCCAGGGGCTGAGAGAGCCCTGCTGTCTGTCCTGGTGCTCTTCCCTGTGCTGAAAGGCTCCATACAACCACCACCGTGGTAGGAGCTGCAGGTGGACTAGATTCGGTGCTGTTTTTATCTGCAGATTTGAGTTTCTCAATGCTTCCTTGAAATGTTTAGACTATCCCCATCTGCTCAGCAGAAGAGCAGCTGGAAACAATGGCTGACACCAGTAGCGGAGCCACCTTTCAAAGCTGCTTGAGGCTTTGCTGCCCAGGTGGGTACTGCATGTGGGAGGATGGTATCCCTTGGCAGGAGCAGCTGGCAACCAGCCCTTCCAGAAAGCACTCAACAGGCTCTTTTCTAAACTCCAGTTCCTTTCAGCAGTAGTTTCTCCCGTAGCAGCTCCCAACCCTGGACCTTCCAGGCTCTCCAGATGTCCATCCAGGCTCAATGGTTCTGAGGGCAGGTTTTCCTGGTGTGGCCAGGCTGGTGGCAAATGCTACAGGTCCGTGGTTTCTTGGCAGTGCTTTCTGAGGAGAGACTGCTCGGTCTCTTGGCTTTACTTCCCACCCCCCTTGAGTATCCACCGCTGCCAAAGTGGTTCAAAGAGGTGTCTCCAGAAGGCCCTAGAGAGAAAAAAAAATGTAGTTAAGTACCTTTGAAAATACAAGTAGGTGATAAACAGAAGGTAATTTCAAAATGGCAGATCAAGGATTTTACTACGCCAGCCACTCAGATCATTCCTGAAATGACAATTGTTTCAGCTCTCTCTAAACAGTTAAACGTTACCCATTTGTCTTGCAGGATTAGAGAAATGTGGCAACAGAACAGGGGAAACTGCTCTGGTTGCTCTGGTCTACAGCTGAAGCAAAACATTCCAGAGGAGAACTTGGTTTTTAAGTAGTTTTGAAAACTTGATTCTACCCCTTTAGGCCTGAATGTCTCAGGAGGAGGCCAGTGTTGAGGATCTCTCTCAGCCCACATCACCTGTTTGCTCACTGTCCCTTTGTGTCAGTGCTCTGTCTTTCACATCCTTATTTTGTGATCGTTTTTTTTATGGGTACTTGTTTTCGGCATCCTTCCACAGCAGCCCCACTCAGTTTCTCTGCTTTGATCAAAGCTTCAGAAAGATTTGGCCTTTTACTGCATTCCTGAAGTAGGGCAGAGGGAATAGCACGGTTTCCCTGGCATGACAGAATGGGGTTTCAAATCTCCAAAAGTGATCTCACTGCTTCAACTCCGTACCAAGTCAGAAACAGCTCTCCCACAGCTGAGCACTGCAATTTGGGAGGACAAATTCCTGAGCAGACTGCTGGAAAGAGTCCTGGGCTTTATCCAACACCTCATGGACGGACAGACCCTTGAGCTTTCTGCATGCAGAAGCAAAGCATCCTGCCCAGAGCTCAGCAGATGTGTGCTAAGAGGACATATGCTGCTAGCACTCGGAAAGGTAAGCCAGACTCAGTTGTTACAAGCAACATTAGAAGTGCTATAACGCTGCCGACAGATGTTCTAAAGACAAACCTGTTAAATGTACGAGTTTACAAGAGCTGTCACGCTGTGGTAGCACCATGCACGGGTGAGAAATGGGTTTGGTTTAAGCTTCAAGAACAGCCTCCAGTTTTTACGTCTCACCCCAAGCCCAGCCTTACCCGGTGCCACGTTTTCGTCTGCCCACTGGAAGAAGCCACACTGCTGCTCTCGGGGCTTGGGGCAGGTGTGGAACTGCCGCCCTTTGTTGGGCCCCTCCTTTTGGACGGTGCGCGTTACCGCTGGCTGGTCACACTTACAGACCACACCACCTCCTGCATCGGAGCTGTTGCTTCCGAAGCCCTCTGGGCCTCTCCCTCCTCCTCCTCCTCCTCCTCCTCCTCTTGGCTGCTGAAATCCTGCTGGGCCCCTTCCTGCAAAGGGCTGGGGCAGCGCAGAGCCCCGCGGGGCCGCGTTGCTTCTGTCCTCTGGCTGCTGATCGGCCCAGAGGAAAAAGTTGCAGGAACTGGTGCTGCATTTGTAGAACTGCCTGCCTTGGTTGGGCCCTTCCTTGCGCACGGTCAACAGCAGGGCTTCATTCCCACAGTTGCACACCACTGTGTTGTTCCCGTCGTCTGGAGCAGACCTGGGTGTTCTCGTTGAGCTCAAGGAGAGCAGATGTCCTGGGGCCATGGTTGTGGTCCCCCTCATGTGCCTGCTTTCACCACTAGCTCTGTTAAAGGAGTTGTTGACCTGCACGTGGTTCGCTTGCTGGCCGGCTGACGATGCGGGCTGGGATGACCTGTGTAAATACTTGAGGTCCAAGAGCTCTTTTAGCATCTCATCACAGCCTCCGATGCAACCAACAAACTCCAGGGGCATCACGGGAGGAACACTGCCTCTCTTGAACTTAAACTTCAGTCTAAAAGGAAAGGAAGAATAAAAGCGTCCCGATTCATACAACTTCTCATCAACAGACCTCAATTTGGACTTGGACTTGAATTTCTATGGTGTGTTTTTGGTTTCTTTTTTCTTTTTTATTTAAATTCTGCTATACTCACACTGGTTTCCCCAACCCCTCTTCTTTCCATCCCCAAGCCATGAGAGTCCTGCTCCAGCTTTCCAAGATTAGAATGGAAAATAGTTGCCCAGCCCAGCCCACGGAAGTCCTCTGGCCCTGATGGCTGACAAGGAATGTCTGAGGGGCTGCATTTCCCCAGGGGATAACTGGTATGACCTACCTGTGAACTGGATGTGGCTGACACACGGTGCAGACACTCTCATCCCTGGCCACATCCAGCACGAAATCAGGAAACCAGACTGCAGCTTTGCAAGCCGGGTAACCCGTGCAGCTGAGGTAGAACCTGTCGTGGGACAAAGGCACCAGATGAGGAGGAGGCAAAGTCAAGACGGTCAGTGGTCTGTTCTCCTGACTTCTCAGCCATCAGAAATTGTCAAAACAACAATTTTTAAGGGCAAATTTGTACTTGAGAGAGAGGTTCACCTGAGTCCACGCAGCTTACGTAGCTGGTGGAGTTAACTAGCTGCTTGCTGCAGAGGGGAGGTAAAAAACAACGCCTAGAAGAACACAAACCAACACAGAAGGCTATTTTCTACAACAGGGAAGATCACCAACCCTCCGTTCTTCTTTGTCTTCAGGACCATGTCATTGTTGCACTGTGGACACTTCCGAACGGAAACGGGCATTGCCGGGTAGACCTCCTCTTGCTCAGCAATTTCTGCAGCTTCTCCAAAATACTGAGCCAGGGCCTGGTCCAACCTGTAAAGAACCAAGGAGAGCATCCCGTGTGTCTCCTCTGCAAAGAGGAACCAAGCACTGCAGAGAATTAGCACCTGCTGCCCACTCTGAGCTTCTCCACCAGTATGTTGATTCAACAATGTGCCTCTGGAACACGAGAGGTGCAGGTACAACATGAAAGAGGTCAGTGCACGTTGCTGTCTCCTTCGCCCAGCTCTGAATTTTATCTTTAGGGTTTAAACCAACACGAGCAGTTTGTTGGCACCAACTCATGGTGGTGTGCCAGGCTGCGAGTCATCCCTTCCCCTGCAAATGCCTACACGCACCAGGCAGAGCTCCAGGGAAAGAGTGTGACAGGCTGAGCCCCAGAGGAGAAGCCAGCACCTCCCAGAACAGCAAGGGAAACAGAAGAGGGCAAAGACAGGACTCACTTGTTGGCTCTGGCCACAGCTTCGATGAAGACTTGCTTGTACTTTTGGACCTGCTGCTGCAACACTACAGCTTTGTCCTTTTTCCCTTCACAGATGAGTTTCAGATCAGCTTCCAGCTCAGCTCGAAGGTCGGGCTTGGACATCTCATAGCCCATGGAATCATAGCCTGAGGAACATACCACATGGTAAAGCGAAAGGAAGGAGGAGGTAAGGAACCTGCCATCTTCCTAACAGGTCCTGCCCTTACCTTCAACCAGCCCCATGCCCAGGTGGCCTGGGAGGAACCGCTGATCTGCTGTAAGGCCCACGTACATCCGTGTCTTAATCGTCTCGATGTGCTCGGCGTGAGTGGCATCAGTCCCTGCAAGCAGACATCTCGTTAGTCAAATCAGGTGCCAAGAAATGATTTCCCCTGTGCCTGTTGCAGAGTGCAAGGCACTAAAGGGACAAGGAGACAAGTTATAGTCAGGAGCAGCACTGTCCTCATGTCCCACTTGCACTGAGGCTAACAGTGTGCTGGCAGGCACACGCTGCACCCTAAATTGCACATCTCCCTGGGTGCTGCAGGCACTGCAGACTCCTTAGGATCTTTGGACTTTGCCTGCAGGTCTCTGCTATCCTTTCGTTCTGTACATTTAAGTGATTTCTTATCTAAAGTGACATCTGGAGAATTCCCTGCTCTTAACGGTGGGACAGAACTGGTATGAGACAAGTTGAGAAGAAGTTTATAAACAATTCTCTCCCCAGAGCGAAAGGTCACGCTGCCAATACTGACCAATGCCATGTTTCTCCATGAGAGCAATCAGATCCGCTTCTGTGAGGAGCAATGGAGGGCTGGTTTCCCCATCCACCATCTCCACTGTAGTGGGCTGAAAGCGAGACCCTTTCTGATACAGTGGGATAACCTGAAGGGAAGGAGAATCTCTTTGAAACTGCCTTCTGGTCCATTCACTGCAGACAAAATGTCAGACTAAGAGCAGGCCAGTGAAGCAATAGAGCCAGTGCCCTGTTCTAGAGGAACTCCAGTCTCAGGGTCCTTAGGATTAACCAGTAATGAGCTGCCAGAGACACCACTGAACACCAATTGCAGCTCCTCTGGGTGAGTAAAATCAACCCCAAAGCCCTGTATGGTCTCTGCTGTGGGGTCAGAAGGGGAAGCATCTATCCAAAGCTGGCACAATAAAGCTGCAGGGGTTTTCAGCAGAGATGGCTCTGAGCAAAACAGCCAGTGGGCCAGAAATCGTCAAAGGACGTTGTGTAGAGGGGTCTGAAGTCGGCAGTGAAGTGAGATTTTTAAACTCCAGGTATTTTAGCCTCTCCCATCTATGTTATTCAAGGACATTACCTTATCGCTCCACTTCTCATAAGGATAGACTTCCAGATAATTTCGGGCCAGGATCATTAGTCCTTGAGCAATGAATCTCTCGTTAGCAATGTCAATCTCCACGGTTGTTTCCTGTCCCTTGGCATCTTGAGAGCAGCAAGCCAAAAAATGGCGCACGATGAATTCATAGAGTCTCTGCTCATTGCCCTGACATCAAACAGAAAAAGAGGGTCAGAGTCTTCTCCAGCATTAATGAGATGTCAAGAGGAGTGACACCTCATTAGCAAGATTTCAGGTGACGATACCGTGCTAACAACCATATTAATGAGATTTCTATCTTTATTTATCAAGCAATATAAGCCATCCAGTTACCTCTGCCTTCGTTAAGCTCACCTGCAGGTTAGCGGTGTATTTGGTGGGGTGAATGGGAGGGTGAGCCTGATCTGTTTTGGTTCCATTCCGAGGGGTTGGCCCACCCTGATCCAAAATCCTCTGTGCAAACCCTCCCCAGTTTGGGTCCTGGGTTTGCTGCTGCACTAAGGCAGAGAGATTCAGCTCCTTGGGGAAAATGTTGGTCTCAGTTCGGGGGTAGCTGATGAACCTTAAAAAGAAAGACAGAAGAGCACTTTAGGAGATGCTCCAAGATGCTTCCCATTTTGGCCTAACCACTATTTACATTTGAAAGAATTAAGTTTATCAAGCCAAGTCTTGCTTTCTTACCCCTGAGTATAGAGTTTTTCTGCAATTCTCATGGTTTCCTTTGCGTTTATTTTCAGTTTTCGGGAAGCCAATTTCTCAAGTTCCTGCATTGGGAGGAGCCAGAAAAAGAATGCATTTGTGCATAATTCAGAGGGGTGAGTAAAATATCTGTTCAAAGCTTCTTTGAAATAAGTCCTTTCAGTGTAGTTCAAACGTACCACAGTGTCCAGGGGCAGGGGCCTCCACTTGCTTTTTGGCTTGCTCCCAACCTCAACAACAGTTGCTACTGGATCCTAAACACAGAGTAAGGAAAACACAAAAAATCTCCTTTAAGGGTTTATACAAACTGTTCTTTAAAGGTCTTGAGCGAGACAGATGCAGGAAACGTTTGGCTGATATGGGATTATACAACTATTTACAAGTTTTCTTACCTCCATACACATCTGGTAAAGGACCAGGCACGCCGTGTGATTGAAGAGCCGGTTCCTCTTCCAGTTGAAGACCACGCTGCCCTCTTCGTGATCGTGTGTCACTGTGTTGAACAACAGATCTGAGTGACACAGCAGTAACACAACGGAAACACAGCAGAGGCAGAGGGGCCATGCTATTGGGAAACCTTTCAGTTCTGCTCAGTGGTCATGGCAAAGGAAGAGGAAACCACCTTTGCAGCATTATTTGTTTGTTGCCCTGATGTTTTCCCTTTCTATACTTGTCAAGCCCTTTAAGATGGAGCCCAGGACTTGCTTTCCCCAAACATACCTTTTATTTTATAGAAGGCCTCAGGAACAAAGGCCTGGATGGCTTTAAAGCGTTCCACCACAAAGCCCAGCGTCGGGAACTGGCAGCTGCCATAGCTGATCAGCTGATCTGCTAAAATATCAGGGAAGATCTTCCGGAGCCTCAGCGTCTGGAATCTGGTGAAGGCAGCACCTGAGAAAACACAAAAGGACACCAAGACTGAACACAACAACATTGAAGAATAATCACAACACTTCGGGTGATTCTTTTTAATACTCTGATTATTAATTTTACTTTAGTTTAATACTCAGTTGCAGACACCTGTCAGTGCTGCATGAGCTATAACCTAACACTTGCTTCAAAAAGCACGTTTCTAGTAAAACACAAGATGTGATTTAGTTGTATCTGATCAAAAAATCAGATTTATGACACTACAGAGGGCATTTCTGTCTTGTGTTGAGGATATGGTAACGAATGATTCCTAAGCACCCCTTGCTGGGCTTCAACAATGTGCATTCAATGTGATTAGATGAGAAGCGAGGAAGAGCCCGATGACCAACCATCCTCTGGGTACAGCAGTCTGAGGAAGTTTAAGTATTTATAATAAGCTCTACACTGATAACAAAGCTGTTCCCTGCCTGCCTGCCACACTCTTGCTCACCTGCCTTCAGTAGAGGTGCAGGCAGCAGCTCAGGCCTGGCAGCCCGCTCTCCTCTCCAGCAGGTTTTTACGTACCTATCCTGAGGTCCAGCTCCTGCCTGACGTCAACGGCATCGCTGGTTCTCTGGTCGGGCTGGGTGAGGTTCTGGCAGGCTGTTCTGACAGCGTGAAGTGTAATCTCTGAGAAACGGGCTCGGAAAACCTGGAGGTTTGGCTTTACTGTCAAACACCAAAAAAAAAAAAAAAGCCAAATAATCAAAGAGCGACTCAAACACCAATAGAAAGGAGCAACAAATAAACAGCTGTCTTCGACAGAGTACGCCGTCAACATATTCTATAGCTTTCCAATAGTTCAATATATTTATGATCTATCAAAGCCACATATTTATCAGAACTACAGTCAAGATATTTAACCTGGACATGGTAAGACTGAGAATATGCCTCTGTTACGAGATCTCAGAGCAGTGTTACCTGTTAAATCAGCACGTTAATGGAACTCAGACTGATGAAGAAGAAGCAGTGAGACTGAGAATATGCCTCTGTTACCTGTTAAATCAGCATGTTAATGGAACTCAGACTGATGAAGAAGAAGATGCTCTACGCACCAGCTTTGCAAACGTGAATTATCTCAAAGCCAATGTTTTCTCCTTCTCGATCGCAGTCGGTCCAGATCACCAGAGCTTGGCACTGCTGGACTTCTCGCTCGAGGGTTCTCTGAGATCAGAAAACAAGGCAGAGTGAGACACACCAGGCCACTTGCTCTGTCATTTAATTTCAGAATGACTCACTAACTGAACACGAAATGCAACGTGTATCCATAGAGACAGATTGTTGCAATAACATTTTGTAATTGTGTCTCTCATGAGATTAGGCAGCTTTCAAAAGAATTGAGTCATTTATTTACATCTAACTCTGTCAAAAAGCATGGCTTGGATTGGATTGTACCACAGGCTGTTTTCTGAAAATGTCATTTTTTTTGGTAAAACTGAGATGCAGTTACCAACTCCACCTTATTGGAAAAACATTTCTACTTTTAGAAAATCAGTCGTTCCTTTACTGCACTAGTTGTACGTAAGCAGGAAACTTTCAATGTCACAACATGCATAGTCCTAGGAAAAGCAGGAGGAATTTGCTAAACTCTAGAACTTAGACGTTAAGGACAAAGGTACAGTCCTCCTTCTGTCAGAGACAATATTTGTACAACTAACCCTTGAGCTCAGGATTTCAGGGAAACTCTTAAAAACAACGTACCTTGATATCCATGTAATTTTCAGGGCAATACTTCTCAATTTCAGCGTCAAAAAGAGCTAGAGGGTTGCAGCTATGCCTGGTAAACAGAGGACAAAAAGTGTGCATAACAAAACTAAAACATACATTGTGAGACACTAACTGGTGCTGTCATGTGAGCGAGGGCTATTCAAGTACTGGAATTAATAACAAATTTTATTATGGGCCTCATCTTAGACAACTTCAGAGCTCACGTGAAATGCTGAGTTATGCTTAAAAGCAGTAGAACTAAAAGCAACCAGAGGAAACAACAAATCTGGAAGCTGTAAACAAGCAACTTCTCTTATTTCAAGCACAGAGAACAAAGGGGAGGGAAGACAGAAAAAGCGCCTCACTCCCCATCAATCAAGTTTTGGAATCAGTTTAATTCCTTGGATCTGCCTTAATGTATTTTAATCAGTATTATGATTTGGGGGATTTTTAGCAGTAATTTGGAACAATATTTTAGCCATTCTGTATAAAATTTGCTGCTAATGCTCCTCCTCTGCGTGGCTCCTTCAAACAGGTGGCGTCAGAGCCTCTCTCTGCTCCCACTCAGCTCAGGGTGGGAGGCAGAAGATGACACCCCCCTTCCTGCCAGGGGGTACAAGCACTTACCATTTGCGAAACGGCAGCTTAAAATCATGAGCCAGTAAGTGTCCTGACACGGATGTCATCACCATAGTAACGTTCTGCAAGAGACACAGCGAGGTTAATTAGCGCCCATCACTTTCTAAAAACTACCCAGAACCCCAAGATTTGGATGCAGTTCTCCATTTACACAACCAGTGACACCTCCCTCCTGCAAATGGATCATAAAAAGCTCTTCTCCTGCTGACAGCTAAATCTATGGCCTTTTCCTCGATTTTTGTAGGAAGCTCCCAATTTTAAATAGCAATACATTTTTGACTGATATAAACCCAAAAAGTTGAAAGACTTAAAGCAACAAAACAAGTCAGTGGCTGAGCCAAGAAAAAAAACATCTGACTTTTCCTCATCCTTGGACAAAACGTCCCCGTCACTGGATATGTGTTTCGTAACTTCTGACCAATGACTTTCAGTAATTAGTATTTTGCACTTCTCTGATCCAGCAGTAGAATGAAAGAAAACTCTACCTGGCCAAACATCTGGTAGTCGTATTCATAGATCTTGTTGAACTTGGAAAACCCTTCTCGCTAGAAGAAAAAGGAAAGTTGCTGAGTTTCTGGCTCCTAAGGGACCCCGAACGCGTTCCGCCTCGCTTTACACACGCTGCTAGGGCAGAGCACAGGGAAGCACAGGGCTAGTGAAAACCAGGTACCGTAGCCAAAACACAAAGGCAAGGTGGGGCAAATGGAAATTGCCTGTATCATTTATGGACACATTGAGACGGTGCTTTCCAACGTAAGAGGATTTTAAACCATGCCTGAAGGGGATGCCAGGGTTATCTCCCCATGGACAGTGACAACAGGTTTGTTTAATGGGGTTGGGTAATTATATTCCTGACAAACAACTGCCCTGCTCCAAATGACAATTATTCTGCTAGCTCCCAGTCCTCAAGACTACCCTCCACCTAACGGAGACTCGTGGAAGTTTCTAGATTGGCTATTTGGGGTTTTTTTCTACAGAAGTAGAATGGTATCTTCCTTGATTGGGACTGCCAGCACCCCAGGTTCTCAGTAACACCTTTCATTCAAATGTAATTCTGGTCTAGAAGGATCTTCTAGTTCCTTAGCTTGGAAATACCAACTAATTAAGCAAACTGTTAAAGGTCATGAAACAACGCAGCGGAGAGGAGAGATCTTTGAACTCCTCTTCTCCAGACCACAGACCATCTTTGCTTTATTATGTGAACTTCAGTAAACCCGACACTTGCTGATGCTGCAGAAGAGGTGCTTTTTGACTGGAAAATACATGCCAGCAGATGGTTTCAGTTCCTCAAGCCTTTCATGTACCCTGCAAAGCTAGGAACAACACAGGGAGCCCTCACCACAGAGCTCAATACCCCAAGAAGACAGTCTGGACAGAGGAAGCACAGCTGGGGAGCTAAATTCCAACAGGACTTAAGTCACAAGGGAAAAGGGGTCTAAGACTCCCAAATACATTTGGGCAAGTGGTGTTTGTCCACCAAAGAGTCTTTGGTCTTGGACAGAGTCTCGCACAGTTAGAAGTGGACAGAATAAAACAGTGCAAGATGTCACACACACACTGATGCCAACTGGGCAGAGAGGGCCACGCTACTGCAGAAGACACAGCCTACACCTGAGATTGTGCTGTGAGCTCCCTGTGCTGCATGACGACCCTGGTGAGCTGACCCTCTCCAGCCAAGCCAGCCCTGCAGGCAGTAAGGCAGCCGTGGTGTACTCCTACCCGTCGCATTCTGCTGTTGGAGAGCAGATCTGCAATCCCTCGAGCGGCATCGTTCTTCTCGGCCACGCACAGGACCTTCCGTATCCTCTGCAATGCCACCTCCTCCGCAGCCCGGGAGAAGAAACGCCAGGGCTGGGGCAGCATCCTGACCCCACAGCTAGCGAAGAGCCTGGCTTGAAAGTTCATCACAAGAGATGCCAACAGCTCCCGGGGGGCAAGGCATGCTGCTGCTGCGTCCTTGCCCTGTGGCCGGATCCTGCTGGGGAGGGAGAGCGATCGCTGAATGTCCCCCACCACGGGGGAATGCCTGTGCTCGGCCTTTAACCATCGACCCCGGGAGGGCCCAGGGCTCTCTCTGCCCCGCTGCCTCCTCAGAGCTGCAGAAGGCTCCTACACCCCGCCAGAAGCAGCCGCCCGGGCCCCTCCTGCCCTCACAAAGCCTTCCCTCAGGCCGGGGCTGTCCCCCCGCCCGCCGAGGCCGGGCCAAGGCAGGCCCC